ATTATAAATCATTTAATTCTAAAAATTCCAAGCTATTTAAAATGTTTTGAACGGAGCAGGTCTGATAGCCGGCATATTTTGGCCAATACCGTACTTTGTTCTTTAAATAAGGGCAATGTACAAATGCTTCAAGCACGGCAACATTTTGTAATGTAAAAGACAACAAATCGTTAATGGATGGATAATAATCCAAGTCTTATACAAGACAAGAATACATACAAAAAATATATTTCTAACACGTATTTAAAAAAAATTGCACGAAAACATATTAGAAGTACATGTAGGTCTGAAAATTATGAACAGTGCTGCAGATATTCAGTTAATTAAATATCTTTATAGCTAATTAAATTGATAGTTAGGTTTTAAATTTTGGAAAAGACCAAAATGTAATACATTAGAATTTTTTTTCTACTTTACGTTAAGTCTATTAATAAAGAGGGAAAATTCCTTCAACATGCCTAAATATATGTTTGATTAAGAGCCCCCCCACCCCCCACCCCCACCCCCCGGAGGGGGGGGGGGCTTTTCTCCCGTAATCAAATTCTTAGTTAGCATTTTCAGTATATTTTAATTAGTATTTAATGTGTATTGTAACACAAGAAAATCAGTCTTAAAATGAACATCAAAACAGTTATTTAACAATAGTATTTCAAAATATACATGTGTCGACAGTAGTATTTTTAATTGGCAAGGAATATGTTTCAAAATCAATTTCAAACTTAATCCTTCCAAATACATATTCCCATTTTTTACTTATTTTTTATGCAGAAATGCTAAAATCAGATCTATAAATGATAGGGAAAAAATATTAAACTTCTTGGAAATACTATGTGACTCTTTGCTATCGGCTTGTTCGTGCACAAAATTAAGAAAAGTGAAACGATATTTCCACACCTCCACTGTGTCGAATGATTTTGATTGACAGCATTAGCACATGGACTTCCTGTGAACCGTGTGAACTTGAAAATGGAAAATAAAAGCCGATGAATACTGTCAAATGGAAAGTTAATCTTAAAAAATTGATTACTTTTACTGCTTGGAAAATTTAGGAAAAATAATAAGAATTTTTATTTGATACAACAGATATCTGAGAATGAAGGGGTATCTCTCTCTCTCTCTTTCGTACATTTCTCTGTTCAATAAAATCTATGACAGCACATTACTTATTTAACTTTGAAAATTTAATCTATAACAAATAATTTTGTGGCCTCTTTCCATCATCTTGTCCGAGTATAATAACGGCCGGGAAATATCTACAGATACATGTAAATCTTTAATATTTTGCATTAGAATTTTAAAATACGGGTGTATTTAAGCAATACGTCAACAGACATTTGTAAATAAAAAAAAAATCATTATTTCACTCAGAATTGCCTTGGCACGGAAATACATGTATGGTTGTTTCAACCGGGTACAATGTAATTAATTCATTCTATAAGTAGTAGTTTTATCTTCTACAGTACACATTATTTTATTAGTTAAAAGACTTAGCATATTTACTATATAAGTAGATTAATTTTATATTTATACTACACGCGTTCGGTAACAAATACACATGTTTTACGGCAATTAAAATCGTGTTATTAAAATATCGATTTAAAACATATGTATGTGCAGAAAAAAAATGTTTATTTATTTATTTATCTATTGTTTATTTATATTTTAGCACCTGAAATTATAATTATAGAATAATAGAATAATTTCAATGCAAGAAAAAGATCGGAGGCATTCCGAATAAATCGTTCATCTTACGTTAACTGTTCTTTTAATGTGCACTTTGGGCTCGCGTTCGCGCTCCGCTCGCTTTCTGCCTTCACTCACCGTTCACACATCGTTCACCAAGTTGCGTCCAGCGTTCGTACATCGTTCACTCACTGTTCGCTCTGCGTTCGTTCACCGTTCAGGTGGGAAAGGAGAACGTTTCAGGGACAGTAAATATCTAGGTCAAGTTCTGTTTTGGGTACAATTGCACCATTTTTGACAGAGTTATGCCCCTTGGACTTAAAAAAAAATCCAATTATTATGCCCCCCTTCTTCGCTGCTGTCTGTCGGTCCACTTAGTTTTCATCTATTTTCTTAGCAACCGTTGCACAAACTGAAATGAAATTTGGTATACATCACATGAATATCTAGGTCAAGTTCTGTTTTGGGTTTGATCGCACCATTTTCAACAGAGTAATGCCCCTTGGACTTAGAATAATTTCGATTATTTGCAGTTGCCGTTCATTTTCTTAGCAACTGTTGCACATACTGAAATGAAAATTGGTATACATATATATCACATGAATATCTAGGTCAAGTTCTGTTTTGAGTACGATCGCACCATTTTTGACAGAGTTATGCCCTTTTGGACTTGGAAAAAATTCCAGTTTGGGTGAAGGGGGGCATAAGTGTTTTACAAACATCTCTTGTTGTATTATGAATTCTCTTTGAGAATGAGGCATGCTTGGTAGAACCAACGACATAAAAGAAAAATATTTCGACAACTGTCCTATTTCACACACTTTTTGTCAATCCAATCACTATTTTTTAATTGCAGAATATGCGAGTGGTGCTATTGGGAAAGATACCAGCCTGTTGCCGTTTTATTTAGGAGTGTTATTTTATCTTTTTCTTTTTGAAATAAAGATCATTTCAATGCTCTGAAATAAAAAGATATTTTTTTTTTGTATTCCAGTGTTCAGTTTTTTTTTTCAATTTATGTCAATCCTTCAAGAAACAATGAAAAGAGTTTTTGGTGGAAAGAACAAGATAGGACAATTAACGTAATTAAAAAGTAAATTACAAGTAAACAAAAAATACACTTGTTTTTCTGACGGTTGAGAACAAGTACTTATTTTTAACCTATTGGATTTCTTCTCATCTGTTTGTAAAATAAATTTTAGTTGACTTAGAATCGGTACCATCGCTGAAAACAGTCAGAAAACAGGGTATTTCCAGCATTCTTGCATTCTAAAAACTATGAGCGCTCAAAAACAGTACCACAAAGATATTTCGCCATTTGTGGACTATAGGTATATACTATTTAAAAAATCTTTGTGGTACTCTTAGTCGCTCATGTTAAATTTTAACAAAACAGGAAAAAAAATCGAGTCAAAATTTATAAAATCAAACCGACTCGATAAGCGTAATTTTTTCCGGGTGTCCAAGTCGTTACCAACGTGACGGGTTTGCTGATAACACAGATATTGCAAGTAAGTACATGTATATATACTTGTCTTTTTAAAAAATATCATTAGATATGCATAAATCTGTAAATATGATTTTTCTGCAGTGTTATTGTTGAAGATTGTAGCCTATGCTCACAATATTACTATGATCTATAACCTGTAATGTAAACTGAAAGAATGACGCTGAAAGGCGTTGAATCGCTTCATATCCTAGTCACATTTCGTAGAATTTATGATCTAATTAAAATAATCATTTGTTTGATAATTATTAGGCCTATATTAAAAAAAATCATTGATATTTTTGTCCTTGCTCGCAATTCATGCTCGTAATTAGTTCATTTCATCGACAACTGTCGCCTGCTGTGGTACAAGTGTACCCGAACGTTAACATACAATGTACATGTAGCTGCAGAGCAACGCTCAACAATTTAGCTAAAATTCTATTGTAAGAAATTTCATCTATCTTTTTTGTATCTGTAAAGAAATAATTATGGCATATCCCCGTAAATTTCGATTAAACCTTCCTAAATTCTTTCTACATTTGTTGATATCTATTTTTAGATCCACGGAAAAACCCACCTATATTGTTTACGTATTGCATACATACACATTATACTAGCAATTCAGATTGAATAAAATTATTAAAGGCACAAAAAAAGGAGAAAAGAAATGAAATACATGCCGCAGTCTAACTTTTATGGTAATAATAACCTTATTAGTTTATTTTTTTTCTTTTTATATCGGATCTATGCACTTAAATTATGTACTTAGTAAACTAGCTCAACTGACTGAAAATGCAAGGTAAGCGGCCGCCTATACAAGTACTTATACAGTGTATGTAAAAAAAAAAGCATATAACAACATTATATTTTTTTCTATTTTAAAAGACTGTGTGTACCTTTTTTAACAGTTAACTTGCACATAGCGACAGGGGAGCCTCCCCCCTTTTTCCCAACATTGAATTATGCTTATACTGTAGAAAATGTTTCTTGAAAGTCTTGAAACTTCTTGTGATATAAGGAAAATGTAGTACTGTAGGTCCAAAAAAAGTTACTGAAAGAAGTTGGCCTCTAACCCCCCCTTGCCCCGAAGTACGTAGGATTTTCGAATTTCGACAATTTTCTTTATTTTTATTTTGCCTGTCAACTTTTTCTGGTAAGTGATTTTTTTTCTCTGGCTTCCCCCCCCCCCCCACTTTAAAAAAAATGCTACATGGCTATTTCTTTACACATCAGATTGGAAAAATTGTCAACTATGCAGAAATTGATCATGACAGTTTTACATCTTTTTGTAAAACTTTTGTAAAACTTTATCCTTGGCCACATGATAAGTTTTGAACGGTTGGTGCTATGGCTTTTATATTTCTCTAATGTATTGTAACAGGATCTTTTCTTTGCTTATCATTGTTATATTTCCTTAGACAAGACCTGTCTTGAGTAACAACATTTTCTATCTCCTGACCTTTGAGTTTAAAACATTTCAGAAACTTTAATCTAACCCATAGGCTTCCAAACGGGGGGATCAGTATTTCGCAAACACATCTTGTTTTATATTGTGATGTAGGAAAAGAAGGCCAAGGGGAGTTATTGGGGTCGAGGGGGCATTTTGGTCCATAGGCTTTATTTATAATGTGTTTTTTGCAGGTCAATCTTTTTCTCAATGTTTCTCCCCTTTCCCTCTTAAATCAGATATTTGTGCTTTGCCAGTTAATTACTAGTATTTAATTAAAGCAAGCTCGGAAACAAGGAAAGTGAATATAGTTATTTAAAAAATACAAATGAAAATATAATGTTTAAAAATATTTTGTTTGTCTCTAATATCTTTTTACAGATGCCAAAAGAATACAAGTGCTTTTTATGTGGGAAACATCACATAAAAATCAGACGTCCAATTAGGCAGTCCCCTTTAAGAAAATATGCTTCAAAACTCGCAGGACAAGATCCTGGAAATGATGACGTTATCTGCAATAAATGCAGAAAGGATTATTATAATTCAATAAAGAAACATTCATCTGCTTCCGTAACATTAGATAACGACAATGACAGTGATTTTTGCTTGTCTGCAGATGAACATTTAGACAACAATTCTAAAGAAGTTAGTCCAAAAAATATTCATTTGAACATCCCTTCTACACATTCCTCACACAAATTCTGTGTAGTATGTAGGAAGAAGAGCAGTAAACGTGTAAAATTTTGCACAATTCCACTGAATGCCAGAACACAAGCTTTCATCCACAATGGAATTTTCATCAAACAATCAGCACGATGTTGTTCTTCACATTTAGAGGGAAAAAATCTGCTGCAAAGCTCTCTAACAAAATTGCAAGCAAAGTATGCAAACTCATTCTTCAATCGCACTGATTTATTCAATCTTCTGGAGAATGTTCGTCTAACTTTGAAAAGATCATCTATTTTGGACTTTGACAATTCCGACCACTTATCTACAGATGAGTACTACAATCTAACAGGCTTGACAAAAGAACAATTTCAAGATTTAACATGCTATGCAAAATCAATTCGCCCATCAGCTGTTCGATCAGTGAATACATGTTTGGCCATTTTGCTGACCAAATTACGAACAGGACTACCTAACCATATCCTTGGAACTATATTTTCTTTGAAAAAATGTCAGATTCAGAGGAGCATTCACAGTGCCAGAATGTCTCTCAGAGATTTCGTCTCTCAAAATGTTGGATTCAATCACATTAGTCATGAAGATTTTGTTAACAAGCACACGACTCCCATTGCAAAAAAACTTTTTTGTGAGAATGAAGATAATACTGCAATCATAGTCTTAGATGGGACTTACATTTTTATTCAAAAGAGTTCCGATTACAAGTTCCAGCGGCAGTCCTACAACCTTCATAAACATCGGCCACTTGTAAAGCCAATGGTTGTGGTGGGGACAGATGGATACATTTTATCTGTCCAAGGCCCTTACTTGTCAAATGCAAGAAACAGTGATGCAGCAATAACAAAGCATATGGTGACTGTAAACTCTGAAGGAATGAATGACTGGCTTCAGGACAAGGATTTGTGCATTGTAGACAGGGGCTTTCGTGATGTAGTTCAGTTTCTTGAAGAAAAAGGTCTATGTGTTGAAATGCCAGTATTTTTGAAAAAAGGTTCTAAGCAGCATACTACTGAGGAGGCCAACACCATTACAAAAATTAGGTGGATAGTTGAAAGCATTAATGGAAAATTGAAACAGTGGCGATTTTTTGATAAAGTAGTGCCAAACCTTTATTTACCACATCTTGGAGAGTTTCTTCAAATAGTAGCTGCAATTTGCAACAAATACCATTCTCCACCTGCTAGTAACCAGTGTGATATCCAGCTTGCTGAAGAAATGTTGGAGAAGAGCAGGCAAGGAAACCTTGTTCAAACCATGGTAGAGAATGAGGGGCTGTTGAGGAAAAGAACTATTTATACAGATATCTTATCTCACCTTTTAAAGGACTTTCCAGTGTTAACAGAGGAAAAACTGAGAAAGATAACACTTGGGGTTTACCAGCTGAAACAGGCACCACGTTATGCCAAAGAACACATAAATAATGATAATGAATACCAGCTCCAAGTGTGTAAAATAAAAGAAAACCTTCTGAAAGTACGAATTCAATCTCGCCACTGTAACAATATTTCACACACTTCTTTCATACAGTACACTACAGATGGGCAGATAAGTGGATGGTATTGTACCTGTAAAGTAGGTGCCAGGGTGGTAGGCTGCTGTGCGCACATTGCAAGTATTATCTGGTACCTAGGGTACCAGAGATTCCAACAGCACAGCCCAGAAAAGTTTGATTTCTGTAACTCTGTATTAGATGCTTGTGATATTTCTGATTCTGAGTGCAGTTCATCTGTAGAGGAGTAGCTTAAAGTTATTGTATTTTTACATGTACAATATCCCGATCAATTGTACATTCTGATTTAAACATTTATCAGATCTTTTTTCATAATATTCAAGATCTATTACAGACATTGTAGTTGATAATTTAGGTATTTAAGCTCAATGAATTTATTTTTAGTCTTGTGCTTTTCCATAGCATACACAGTTTTTTTTAAATTCATACTTTAACTACCGGGTATTTTATCGAGTTTAATTAAACTTGCTCTGAAGCATTTATAAACATGCACTTCTGTTAATATATGTTTCGAATTTGCAAAAAAAGTTATGCTAATACAATTTTTGTGATAATTGATTTTATTTTGCTGGGTAACTTGGAAATAAAATACATAAGTACATAAGTATGGAGGCACCTTAAAATTTGCAAGAGAAAAGGGTGCTTTTAATGATTAAATTTTAAGAAAGTAATAGAGTTGTGATTTGTCATGTGATATATGTTTCCTGCAAAAAATTATATATGTAAATAGAAAGAGGAAGTTAATTCTTTTATTGATGTTGTCAAATTGTTACTTAATATTGTTTGTACTACATGCTACATGTATGTTGCTTTAAGAATGGCATAGACTTTTCTTGAACAAACAATTACTTTTAAATTATTTCCATTGTAATCACCAATATATCTCTTATCAGATAAGCCCTTTCTTTTCTAAGTCTTAAACTGCTTCAATGTATAAGTGGTATAAAACCCTCAAAATATTGTACATATTCTGATGCTCATGATTTCCGTGTAGTTGAAAAATTGATTATATATGTATATATATTTCTTACTCTTTTGAGATGAAATTCTGTATTTCAGCAAGATATCAAATGTAATGTACGCATATTAAAATATATTTCATCATAAAACTAATATTCTGTTATTCATTACAATAAGTAAAATTAAGTGTATGAAATCAAATACAGAGTGATTATGTAAAATGCAATCATTGCAGAAGAGAAAGGAATACTTTAAAATAAAAATGAGAAGTTATTGCTGGTTTATATCAAAACAGAAAAATATTTGGTACAAGTACAGATGCTTATGATTTCCCTATTTTTTAAAAAAAATCTAACGTATATTAATTTTATAAATAAAATAACTACAAATGATTGCTCAACTGCCTACCCCTATAGTCAATTTATAGAAGTAATTATATAAACATATATATTTTCATGTGTATATGCTAGTAGATAATTATATGAATTTTTGCAAAATATATTAGGCAATATAATGATATATATAACTTTATAATATTTGTAAAACTTAAATATAGCCATAAGCTAAGTTGCCATTAATATTTTATCAAACAAATGTAAAAAGAGGCGGGAATCGAGAGTTATCGTGCATAGTTCTTTAATTTTGATATTTTATATGGTTACTAGGGATTTTTCTGTTTAATATGGGTTTATTTGGTAACTGAAAGTTCAATTTTTACTCTATACATAATACTTTATGTATATATATATACAGTGTACATACAAATAAATATCGTTACATTAATACTTGTTATTCTGATGCTCACAGTAGTTACATAAATGTTGAAAAATCTTAATATCCTTAATTAATACGCATATTTGCATGACTAATGCTGTTGCTAAGGCTTTCTCTAATGTCTGGAGGATTAAATTTTGATTTCTAAAGCCAAACAGCTTTTTATCCTGAGATGCCAACATTGATCCTTATAAATTCCCTTTCATTGTACATAAACATCCCTCTCTCGCAATATTTGTTTGCATTTTAAGTTGTTACTAGGGGCGTTTTTGGTTGCCATAGCAATAAAATTCTTTTTTCATCTTTATTTTACTTTTTTAAAAGAATACAATGATTTTTATTATGTGTTGGTTTAAAAATATGGACCACTTACACAATTCTGTCAATAAATGTTCTTGAAATTGACTTTAATTCAAATCATGGTTGTTAAGTTCGATGTGTTGCTAGGCAACCAAATTACAGGGATAACACAAAAAAAATATTATTTCCTGTTAGGGTTGGGTATACCCTAGGATTACATATTGAAGAATTAATATTGTTTAAGTAATAGCTTACCATTAATAGATATATTTATTTGATGTACCGGTATTAATTACCGGTACTTTGAATTAATGAAAGAAAAAGTGAGCAAGCTCACATACCCCACGGTCCCCCAAAACTGTGCTGAAATCTGGGAAAAAAATTAGGAATTGAAATTTCCTGCACATCTACACATTGTGTCATAAATATCTGCAAAGTTTGATGAAAATATGTGCAGGGGGTTTTGAGGAGTTGCAATGACAAACTATTCATAGCTATATTCAAGATATCCCCAATAATGGAAGTTGAAAAGTACTGAAAACTTAAACTTAAGTATTCGGAATTTCCTGGTAATATGCACATCTAAACATTGTGTCCTGAATATGTGCTAAGTTTGACGAAATTCTGTGCAGTGGTTTAAGAGGAGTTGCGCTGACAAAAAACAGGACTAACTGACACTCTGACTGTCGGACGGGTCAAAAACATTATACCTCACACAACTTGTTGCGTGGGGTATAATAACTATTACTCACAATGTGGTAGGCTGCCTGGAGACCTACAAACACCTTTCGAAGATTGTCCGATGAAAGTTTCTTATTTTTGACTACAAAACAAATTGAAATGTGTTGAAATTTTCAAAATAATTGATGTAACACACAGGTGCGGATCCAGGAATTTTTTCCAAGAGGAGGGTAAAAAAAGTAACTTTTAGTTGGATTAATATATACAATTTAAAACTATGCAAATTCCAAGGGGGACTGAACACCCCAAACCTCATCCCCTGTAGATCCGAACATGACACATTTTACATTTGATGGCAGTCTTACTGGAATTTCCTGAGGCCACCCCTCCGGCTTCTCACCTTTCCATACGTTCTTTCCTAATTAACACAAGATAAATGCATGCATGCATACAAAAAGTAAAATCTATCTTGAATTTCTCTTATTTCATGTTCAACAAAATGATAAATAAAAAGGTTGTTTGATATTAATAATACAATTCAGGATTTAAATTAATACACCTTTTACAATGCCCCTAACTATCAAAGGCAATAGCCTTCGAAGTACAGCTTCTGGCGTTTCCCTTGCTTGAAGGGAAAGCATCTGCCTCCAATCTTCTGGCATTGAGGCAGGAACTTGATATTCTGTGAATGGTATAAAGATAAAAATGGGTCAAATAAACATAGTGTGCATGTGATAAAAGTTAACTAGAACTTGAAAACTGAAAGTCATATCATACAGGGCTTCACTAAGGGCTGTTTAAAGGACCAAGAAGACAAAAATACATATAGAAAAAAATAATATGACCCTTGAATTAATAAATAGGCTCATATAGAAAAGTTTTATATGTAATAATTGAAAATGTTATGTAAATAACTGTCCTAGTTATCAGGCAAGAAAAAAGTGTCAAGGATTAACATTACAGTTACTTGGGAATGGACCTGCTGTATAAACCTTTAACTGGTCACTCGTCTGGAAATGTAGGTCAGATAAAGTATCCGAAGCAAGTCAAGTAGTGTCCATCCCTAGATGCATCATTCATTCAAGTTTGGTCCAGGTAGGGCTTCTAGTTACTTTGGAATAGACCTGTTCCAAAAACTTGAACCAGGACGCAGATGCCAACCCCAATGACGGGGTATAAGATATATCATGATGTTCTCATGAATAATAGTAATTTACACATTATAGTACAGTGCTTTTGTTCAATATTTAAATTAACATTGAAAACTGTCTTAATTATTGTGTCACAACAAAAGTGTTATGAAAGATGAATGATAGAAAGATGGAAGGACAGACAGTGATTCCTACAGGGCTCAAGCACTTTCGTGTGGGGATCTAATTACAGCTGAGATAAACAAATGAATATGAAATGTATCCCTAAAAAATAATACATAACTGTATCAACAAGTACCCAGAAAGTTCACGGAAGCTCAGTAGGTAGAGCGCTCGCTCCGTGATGGGAGGTCGTGAGTTCTTATCTCGGCCGCGACTGACCTAGTCGTTAAAATTGGTAGCAACTGTTCCTTCGCCATGCGCTCGGCACTTTGAAGTGAAAGTTGCGGGTCCTTCGGATGAGACCTTAAAAACCGAGGCCCCGTGTCAGCAGCAGGCGTTGGCACGATAAAGATCCCTCACTGCTCAATGGCCCTGAGTGCCGAGTAAAGGTCAAAATTTGAAGCCCTTCACCGGCATACGGTGACGTCTTCATATGAGTGAAAAATTATCGAGAGGGACGTTAAACAATATACAATCAATCAATCAATCAACACGTACCCTTTGCTGACAAAAGCATATCAGCATGGTGTTCCATACTGACATCTTCTCTGCAAAGACATGGGATGAATCCCTGAGCAATGGTGACACTTAAAAATGTCCAAATATCAATGTCATTATAAGTTAAAGAAACTTTCAAACGATATAAAATTCAATAAAAACACATTAGAATATGCATGAGTGATATAAAATTTAAACAAAACACATTATAAATTTATTGACTGAGTTGGAGGGCAACATGCGTTTTGTCGGACCCAAGAACCAAACTGTCTGGCCTCAGGCAGACAGCTTTGTTTGAGGGTCGACAAAATGCATTTTGCCCGAGTACTCTGTCAATAAATGTTTTGTTGTACCTTTTATTTTATTTATTTATTTTTTTCTACAAACATGTATTTTGTACTGTCTTTCGTGATGTAACAACAGGGCCGTCACTTTTGAACACTAACAAATGAAAATGAAATTTACACTGTTACGTAAGCGGTCCAACATCTCACTCAGCGGTCCAAAATCTCATTCAGGGGTCCAACATCGATTTTTTTAATGCCCGCTCGGCAAAGCATTAGAAATGTTAGAATTTTTCATATAGATTTGTATAGGAACAAATTTTTAAAGGTAAAACAATAGAATATGAATGACTTCTATAAAGGTGATATGCTACTTGTTGTAATTGGTGTATAACTTCCCTTACTTATGCACTAAAATAC